TCAGAAATTGTGAAAATGTTCGATAAGTTAGTAAGTTTTAGGAGATCAGAACACCTTTCGGTTTCAGTTGTGATAACCGAAAAGTGTTCTGATCTCTTAAAACTTACTAACTTATCGAACATTTTCACAATTTCTGATTGGTGGTAGTTTCGGTAATCACTATTCTAAGAACGACCACGGTGGTATTCCCATGGTGAACCTGAATACAGAAATGCGACAATGGCAATATGAGTGTTCGAAGACAGTTTGCACTTACTACTTGTGAATATCATATGTTAACCTAAATTCACCCGGTTCACTTTGTGTGATGGAAGTGTTTAAGTAATGCTATATGATTTCAGCGATAAAGATTATGGAATTCAGAGCCCATACTCAGAAAAGTGCATTTTGGAAACATTCAATTTTTCAAACTTGTGTTTCCTTATAAAATCCCGTAACTCCTACGAAACTGAAGGCATCTTTCGACAGCCCTCTATTGCAGTTGATTTGATGGAGATATATCATTCTGTTCCGAAAATATGACCAAAATGATCATTTTGATTGTTCAGTGCTTGAAGGTGCTTCTGTGGTGGTGTCACATGGATGGATTATGACCTGAAAGTGTCGAACAAACTGGATGTGAATCTGGTCAATAGTGTGTATATCGATCGATCATGATCTATTGGTGTCCCAATGCAGCCGCTTGAGGTGTTGCTTATTAATTCTATTGCGCAACGTGCAACAGCGGTAAGCAATGACTCAAACCTTGATCACGCATGATTCACTGCTATCAGTGGAGGGGGACACACACAGAGGCATCCGCGTACTAGCAAGATAAACAACCGATATGCATGCCATGAGAATTGATGCGTGTGATGATGCGTGTGATTGAATCCCGTCTCCCAATCGTCCACTGCACTACAACAGGAGGTAGAGGAATCCGTGTGGCATAGTAGTCATCCGGACATCGCTGGGAGGCTTATCAGCACCGATGAGGTCAACGCGACAGGTGGAAAGAATATGGGGACATCCTGAACTTGAAATAATTTCCGGACATTTTGAACAAAATCCGAGGATATCTTGAAATGATACTGGGACAACTTGAAATAATCGCCAGATATCTTGAAATAATTTTCAGCCAACTTGAACTGATTCCCGGACATCCTAAACTAATCCGAGGATATCTTCATAGGATATTGGGACGACTGGACTTTCACAAGTTATAGCTCCGTGATGTTAATGCACTAAGCAGCAATCCCGTTTCATTATCACGGAAGGCGATGCAAATGCATAGACAGAATGGTATATTTTTCGTCTTTTTGCCGATATCTTTCTTCAGTTTTTTGAGAAACGGTTATGTTTTGTCATCGATCTTTACCCGGAAACGTAAAGCTCTCACCTCATATATGGCAATATTTGAATAACTCAGTGTACAATTCATGGGATTTGAACAACTTGAGGTCTAACGTAACAGTTCAGAGTTCCCTGTTACAATTGAAAATAATACATTTATGGAAAGCATAACCGTTTATACTTGGTCCCTCTCAATGATCACCCTGCTCTAGTTAGTGAACAAATCATATTTAAAACAAGGAAAAATATCCAGATTATGAGTTTTTCACAAAGTACTGCGGCCTTCAAAACTAATAACGGACGTTTTACCGTAAGTATTTATAAATAAACTTTTAAAATACGACCTAGATCACTGAGTTTAATAATGTGTTTACTATTCTTCCCGCAAAATATTTGTGACGCGATATGACGCGAAGTGAAACAAATGAACTAGTAACGGGTTCACTTTATTTGTCCCTCTGAAGTAACCGGTCTGATTACCTGGGGTTCGTAGTAGCACAATGCTGTTGGGATGAAGCATGTTTAAATTCGCTGCGCATATCTGCCCGGAATTGTCTATCTTGCTGTTGATATGTCCCATACAATGGTTTTCATTTACTTGGAGTGTTGGTGTTAATAAATTTATTGGAAACCCCAAACATTTCGTTCTTGGCAGAATGAAGGCAAAACGTAACCCTAATGTTAATAAACGTATCAGAACCAAAGGATGTCAAACGTCTACTGAAACTCAACACGACATGTGCTGTGTTCATTATGAATGCATTAATGTCGTAAATATAGCATTATTAGTGGGGATTAGGAACCTTAGCCCATAATGTTACAGCAGACGACATTTCTCAAGGCTAAATTTACAACGTCCAAGTTACTCTGAAGGACACCAGAAAGATTTTTGATTATCCAATGCCTTTGATTACCTGTTTTCCCCTCGGATTATATGGCATGGCGTAATTTTTACGACCACTGAAGTAGCCGATTCAGTTAAAGAACTATCTATGTCAACCGTCATAAGTTGCACACGTCTGCGGGAACAGTCAATACCTATAATTTTCCATCTTTTCCCCCATGGTTTGCAAACGTGCGCTTGTGGGAATCCTATTTTATCGAGCGAAAATTATTTGTTCTCGTGACACACTGAAGGAAGAAGAGGATTTCCTAGGGAAAACATTGCTGAACAATATTTACCCAGAAAGGTTTATAGATATCCACAGTAAACCATTCAGAAAAGATAACCCATCCAAAAACTTCAGTAAAAAGGCCATCTACGTCAAGCTTGCGTTCAAAGATGTCCACATTTACCATGTTGTGCGCCAGAAGTTGAGGTCATCTCTAGACGGTATATTCCCAGCTACTCAACTCAGACTCATTGCCTCCTCTAGTGGATTTGATTAGGACAAGCGTAAACATGGCTGGCAAACCAGTTCCGTCTCACACACCATATAACATTTCACCCGCTGTTGCGGTGAAGCATATAGCGGCAGAACAAACCGTCAGCTTTCACAACGGATGGCCGAATATATTCCGAAGTGGTTGGTGAAATCGATGATGCAACTGATAAATGGTGGCCAAGTGAATACAAGAAATCTAGGATCAACTGTTGCAAAGCATGTCATAGCAACACGATACACAGTTTACCCTAATTCATCTTTCCAACCACCATTACGTAATCGCAACGCTAAGCTTTTGGCATTTGGTGAATCAATGCCTATTCCATTACGTCACCCGACCTTGTGCGCACAGACGTTTTTGAGGCAAGCAATTCACTAACCGTGGAGTTGACTTTCTACTTCTGAGTTTAGTAATCTTTGTATGCTTGTAC